CCATTTGTCTCGTGCCATCCCTCTCCAGCCTTCCACAAACTTTGGGCAGGGACACCCCTCCTACCCCGTGGCTAACACCACTCCATGGACCCAACATCCATCACTTTATCTCACTTCTCTTTAAACTCTGTTCTAGTTGTAGCCTTCACAGCCTCCTGCAGCAAGGAGTTCCACAGGTTGACTCTTTGCTTTGTGAAGAACAACTTTCTGTTACTAGTTTGAAGCCTGCTACCCATTCCTTTCCTTTGGTGTCCTCTAGTCCTTCTTTATGGGAACTAATGAAGAACTTTTCTGTATGCATCCTCTCCACCCAACTCCTTCTTTTAGAGACCTCTATCCTGTCCCCCCTCCGTCTCCTCTTTTCTAAGCTGAAAAGTCCCAGTCTCTTTAGCCTCTCTTCATATGGGACCTGTTCCCAACCCCTGATCATTTTAGTTGCCCTCCCCTCTCCCACCTTCTCTCTTCCCCTCTCCCACCTCCTTTTCCCAGTCTCCCCCAGTTTTGTTCAATAAAGACAGATTCCATTTTTGAACACAATTGTCCTTTATTTTGTACATCAAGAAAAGGGAAGGGTAAGTGGAAGGAGGTGAGGAAGGAATGGGGTACGAGCCCCCGATGGGGAGGAATGGGCTGGCTCTGCGGGCTTCTGGGGGTGGAAGCTCTCCTGCAGCCCCCCAATTGCCCCCTCTCCCCAGATGGCAGCCTGCGGCAAGTGCAGCCGGGCTGATGGCCGAGTGGTGTGACGTGCCCAGTGTGGGCACTCCGCGCACTCCAAGCCAGGACTGCTTTGCAAGCGGGGCACCCCTGAGAACTGTCTGTCCGGGGTGGGGGTCAGATCCCTTTAAACACAGCCTTCAGCTAGCCTGAGACAGCATCTCCACGCTCTAAGTCCTCCTCTGATGCCCTGCCGGCACTGCTTCCGGCCATCCTTAAGCCCGGTTAAGGGTCCACTTAATGTGGACATGCTAGTTCGAATTAGCAAAATGCTAATTCGAACTAGTTTTTAGTTCTAGACACGTTAATTCGAATTGGCTTAGTTTTAATTAACTAATTCGAACTAAGTTAGTTCGAATTAGCGCTGTAGTGTAGACATACCCAAAGTCATGTAAAATAGGCTACCTGACACAGTCAATGAAGCGGGGATTTAACTATCCCCAGCTTCATTGAAATAAAAATGACCGCCACGCTGCGCCGGCTCAGCTGATCGTCGGCACAGTGAATGAACCAAGACGCTGATTAGTCGACAAGAGAAGCCTTTGTCAACCGTTCCTATAAACCTCATTTCACGAGGCATAAGGGAGCGGATGACAAGGCTTCCCCTGTCAACTGATCCGCGTCTTGACTCGTATGCTGTGCCGACGATCAGCTGAGCTGGCACAATGTAGCGGCCATTTTTATTTTAATAAAGCCGGGGATATTTAAATCCCCGCTTCATTGACTACGTCGGGTAGACTATTTTACATGCCTTTGTTGGCAGAGTCATGTAGTCTAGACATACCCTGAGTGATGAATTGAGAATATGATTCAATCACAACAAAGTAAAGAGTGTTAGGAAGAGGGGATTTGTGTTAAATGCTTTTATACTAAGGAGAAAAACATATCCTGAAGTGCCATTGTTTTATGGAGTAATTTAATGTGAAGAAATGGTGCAGCAAGTTGAATCTACATGGAATAAAAGAAATGAACAATATTCAGATCCATCAAGGGCCTAATTCTGCATACCTCAAGAGTGAGGAATTTCCTTACTTACCACCACAAGCTGCATGAGAGAAAGAGGAACAAAAAGGGGGTTTGGCGCCCAGCTGAGATCAGAAGGAAGGCAATCATGGAGGAAGAAGAAGCTTGAGACCGAATTCACTAGAATACTGAGAAATAAAGGGGCTTCATAGGCCTAAAATCACTGCACCCCATAGTTTTGGGGTACTGGACATAGTTTGAATTCTGAAAATATCTGTGTTAAGACAGGAGTCACAAGCAATTACAAAAGTCCTGATTAAGTAGTGAGAAACATAGATTTGGGAGAAAGAAATGAACTGGATGTTGCATTAGGCTGGTCTGGCTCCCTAAATTTCCCAGAACCAAATAAAGTGAATACATCCCTATAGGGGAATGTACAAGTGTAGCCTAACGCCCCTTCTCCCTCCCTCCCCTCCGGGGTCCCGCAGTTTCTCCTACAAAAATAGGAGCGGGGAGGGCCGCTTCTCCAAAAATGTCCAGTCCCTTGGCTCCAAGTATAGCATCCACCAGGGGCAGATATAGGGCACAGCGAACAGGACAGCCGCCCCAGGCCCCACGCTTCAAGAAGCCCCGCGCATGCACCGTGGTGCCACCGTGCATGCACCATGGTGCCATCGCGCATGCGCCATGTCAAAGGGGGGGCCCGGCAAAATTGTGCTGCCCTGGGCCCCGCAAAGTCATCATCCTGTAACTCAGCATCCCGTCGGTGAATCCTATAACGCCCCGTCCTGGGCTGCTTCCCATCCTCACTGCTTACCCCCAAGCAGTGTGTACACGGCCGCGGGTTGAGTGCAGGGTGAATTGGTTCCGTCCTGGTGGGGCAATCTCATCCTGTCACAGGGAACCAAAAAGATAAAAAGCCTTCAGCCTAATTAAAGGAATTCTAGTAGCAAAGAAAGGGTACATTGAGGAAAACCTAACATGGAGAAACTTGATTCAGCCAAGGAAGAGACTGAAGACTCACTCTGACAGGGAAAAGGTAGAAACATAACTTCTCAAAACATTTTTCACCTTTATCTGGAATTGTTCTGAAATCAGGCCTAAGGGCCTGATCTAAAGCTTACTGAAGTCAGTAGGAGTCCATTTACCTCAGAAATAGCTCTATAGTGCTGAGTGACCTGACCTGAATTATTCTTGTAAGAAAACTAGACATTTTTGAGAGAGACAAATTGGAATGAAAATACTTTTGGGATAACAAGAGAGAGAGAATAGAGACCATTTCAAAAGTTATTTTTACCATTAACAATAAAGAAAACAACCAATGCTGTGTTGGAGAGAGTGTGAAGAACGGAAATGCTCAAAGATGATTTAGCTCTTTGATGTAGGGACCCTCTTTTGGTTCTGTGTTTATACAGCATCTAGTATCATGGCATTCAAGTCCATGACTGGGACTGCTAGGTGTTGGCACAATACAAATAACAGCAATAATAATAAAGCTTAAAATTTCTCCTAACTTATTGTTCTATGGAAGTAGAGTTATATATGAAAACTTTGAGTATTAAACCTAGAAATAAAAATAAACATAGCATCTTTTATTGCAAAATAAATTGAAAGGAGACAACATTGAATGTGCTGGGACTGTTGAAAAGGAAAATGCAGTGTGTAAAATGCAATGTTGCAAACCCTCATTGCTAGTATAGCCAAGCAACTCAAGATTAAAAAATAAAGCACCAAGCACTTTTTGGTCCCAGTGGAACCTGGTTTCTACATGAATACCCCCCTTAGTGAGAACCTGCTGGAAAAAATCCTAGCCCATATAAGAGAAAAGGGAAGAATGAACGATCCTTCATAGTAATGCAACCAAGTGATACTGTTTAAAACAAAACTTTATGCGGACTGAAGGCCATATTTTCAGCTCATCAGCTGGTTTAAATCAGTGTGTCTTTACTGAAGCCAATGGAGTTATGCCAGAGCCAGCTGAGGATCTGCCCCTAAGAATTTAATCAAGCAAAGATGAGTTTCTCTGGCAAAACTGTGATCTCCTGTTATATTCTTTACCTGAAATGCTTGCGCCCTAAAGAGAGTCATGTTGTCTGGAACAAAAACGAAAACAAATAAAACCTGCTGGGAGTTCAGGTTGTAAAAGCTGTTGCTATCTTAGTCAGCTATAGTTTTGACAAATGTTTGGTAACTTTGCTTACAACTGATGGTAACTTCAGGAGAACTGGCAAGTCATAAGAAATGTTCAGCATCATGATAGCCATTACCCTTCATTGAGCACATGTGGAACTTTGTCTCTAGCAATGACACAGTTTTGATGCTTCAATGATCAACACATCCACATCTTACTTCACTTAGCCAGTAGAAATGAGAGTTATTATGAGGGAAATTGCATAACAACCCCACAGGGTGTCATCTTAGGTCTTGTGGAAGCATGATCTGAGTTGTTTCCCCTTTGACGTTACTTTTGATATAATTTCCTGCTTTAATGTATTTGCCTGTCACTATTTTGTTTACATAAGCCTAAGGCTGTTAGATAGTACAGGTATGAGCTATGGCAAGCTTGGAATCAGTTGGCCAAAACTCAATGTTGTTCTTACTCATTGACCTCAAAACTTCCCATTGACTTTGACTGGGATGAGTCTCAGGCTGTGTCTAGACTACATGCCTCTGTTGTCACACTGATTTGGATTCATTTGTTAAATTTCCAAAATCATGGTTATCAAAGAGTTCTCTATGGTTATAGTGGAAGGTTGTCAAGGGCAATATTTGATGAGCAAGAAGAAAAATAAATTTCTTTTCACAAAAAAAGATTACTTCTTGGTTCTCTAGAGAGTATTGAAGAGAGACTTTTATTGCACATTCATATTCAATTTATAGTTTTACAAGAATTCATAGAGAGATTCCTAATCAACATGGGGTAGTGGTGGTCTAGATAACCTCTTCTGGTCCTTTCCAGCCCTGCTTTTCTATTATTCTATTATTTTATTTTTTTAGAATCTACAAAGCAAGTCCCATCTGCTCTGTTTTGCCCTGCAACTGGGCATTGATGGGCATTTAGTTAGGGTGGAGTTCAATGCTAATTCTATCCCAGATGTTCATAGCAAGGATCTCCAATACACATGGTATCAGATGCCCTGAATTAAGCTACAAGAAATGCTCAAGACTAAAAAGTATGAATTAAATATCATGTCATCTCACCATCACAGAACACAAAATGCTTGATTGGCTATTGAAGTACTATTTGAGAACTATGAAAGGATGTCTTGTGCAATAATTTCCAAAATGGTGCATGCAGAAATGATCTAGATATCTTCCCTCTGATTGCTTATTAAAACACTGCTATACTTGTGATATCAAAGAGAATGTGAAGTGTTAAATTCTTGTTTCTGTTTAAATGTGCTGTAAAAGCATTTCAAATGATTTTTGCATGGAACGCATGGAGGTGGTTTTAATTTTTTTTGAGAGTTGTTAAAACTAAAATTCCCATATACTTTCACTTCCCCTTAGAAGTCTATTGAGGTTGGCTTATTCCTTTACTTTGATATGCAAATTGGCAGATTGCTTTCCTGCGGGGGACACTGGAAGCTGTCCAAAGAACACAGAGTAAATGTCCTGTCAGGATAGAAGCTGAGATGGCTAGAATGGTCCTTGGACAGCAGTGAAAGCCAAGTTTGTGTTTTGGCTTAAAAATAAAATACCTTTGTTAACAGTTTTTACTTCCAATATAAATGTTTATATATTTACTCTGCTAGTCCTCTCGGTTAGCCAACAGCTGGAACACAACAGTTTATCTGTTCCTTTTCTGGTCAGTATGTTACTAAACTTATATCCTTTTTTGAAGATATTATTTATTCTGCCCTTGACATATTCCATAAAATGCCGGTTTTTAAAACTGCATTTACCCTCAGAGCCATTGAGGACACATTTTACAATGAATTATACAACTGATGTAACAGGAAAAAATGCTAAGTCCGTTTACAAAAATGGGCGCTCTATCCCACTCATCTTGTCTACAGTCTGTTTCCTTGAAAAGGTAAAGATGAAAGACAGGTTTTAGTTTTCACCTCCTTCCTCCTTTAAGATCCACAGCTTACTTTTTTGTTTTCTTGCCTGTTCTTCTTACTGATGTAATGGAGTACCTATAAAAAAAGATTAAATGGTATCATAAAGTTTTATTAATGCCTTACATCATTGATATCTCCTCTGTATTGATAGTTCCATTTCCATTATTGCTACTTAGTCATTTAATTAGTGATTCATACAGTATGTTGTAAACTGCAGTATGAGTGTTAACCATCTATATAAAAGCTCATATTATGTAAAAGCCCTTCCCAATATCATAATTGGAGTATAGTTATCCATTTTAAGCAACTTGAATTAGATTATTATAGATTAATTTATAAAAAGTTACTTGTAAAGGACATTGAAGATCACAGAATATTAAGAGTGGAACTTCATTACATTAAAATGGACTCTAAGAACAATGGGACTGTCTCTGTATTTTATATATATCCATTTCATCTTTCATATAATAAGAACAATAACAGTTTTATCTGGCAATACGATGATACTTAGGGATGGAAGGACAGATTGTTAAACAAGAGATTTGTGAAATCAGAGTAACTGTCTGTTAAAGAAAGGAAAAGGCATGGTAGAGTTTGCTCTTTACAGAGGAGGGGATGTAAGTAAGAGCATAAAATGGAATACATGGATGGAAAATGCTGAAATGGTGCATAGAGATCCATAATGTTTGGAGGGAGAGTGGTAAATGCTAGACAGCAAAAACAATATAAATTCAGGGAAAATCACTAATTCAAGTGGAGTTACTTCATGTTTATAGCAGTGTGACAAAAGCAGAAATTAGCCCAAATCTGTATAAAATATTAAGTGCTTGTAGTTAGTTTCATATCCTTTCCGTCTCTTCTCAACTTCTAATCCACTTCATTTGACTTGTAAAAAAACCGTATTCTGTGGCCCAAATTCTCTGATCTGGCTGAAGAGAGTAAAGGTAGAGTTGGCTTTCAACCATGGCCAGCTTGTAGAAGTTAGAGCAGCCTTCAAGCTCATTATGGATCATGCCTGGCTAGCTAAGGCCTGAAGAAGCCATTCTAGCAGCTGTGGAGTGCAATGACAGAGAGAGTGCAGTGGCATGTTGATCCTAGCCAGACCCACTCTGTGGAGGACCAGGAGAAGGGTTGGTATAGAATCACTGCAGCAGCTCTGTGTTTCTTGGCACTTGTCTAGACTAAGGAGAAGATTGACACTGCTGCAGTCAATCTTCCAGGGTTCAAACATTATTTTGAAATAACTAGTGTTATTTCAAAATAACAGTCTGTGTCTATACAGCAGGCAGTTATTACGATATAATGTCAAAATACTGTCAAGCTGGAAGATTTCTTACTCCGAAATCTACCGTAACCCTCATTTTATGAACAGTAAGGAAAGTTGGAGGAGTTCTCTATTTTGAAATAAGTGCTGTGTAGAAGCTCCCAATTTTGAAACAAGCTATTTTGAAATAAGCTACGCAACTGATGTAGCTCATTTCCAGCTATGTAGCTCCAGCTATGTAATTAACATAGCTAGAGTCGCGTATCTTAAGTCGACGCTACCCTTTAGTGTAGACGCTGCTGTACAGATGCACTCTCAGTGTATGTGCGCGTGTGTGTGAAATTCTCATTTTGTGCATTTGTCTTTTCTTTGTTGCCTGTAGTACTTTACACTTGTCCTTTCTGTAATTCTGATCTATGCCCCAGCTGTTCCCTGGGGCATGGTTGCCCCATGTGCTGGGTCTGCAGCTGGGTGTGCAGCCACTCAGGCTCCATCTCTGGCAGTTGCTACGTGGGCCACGTGGTGGTTACCCAGCTGCTTTACGTCCCTGCCCCCGGGAGCAGCTAGGGCTGCAGCTGTATGGTGGCTGCTGGGGCTCTGAGGCCAGGACCATGGTACTAAAAATAGAAGCTGGAGCCACAGCTTCTGCTGAGGAAGTGGGTGGGACTGAAATTTTTGGTGCGCGCCCATGCAGGCGTGCACCTTAGAGAGAACCCTGGTGAAGACCTGCCAATTTGAACTGAGAGGGCACTCCTGTCGGGTCCGCTAGGCCTTCTGCTTATGAGGAGCAGTGGAAGTAGATGGGAGCGTGTGCTCCCGTCGACCTTCCGCTGTGTGGATGCCGCCAAAATGTGATTTAAGATACTTCGACTCCAGCTATGTAATTAACATAGCTAAAGTCGCATATCTTAAGTCGACAGTACCCTTTAGTGTAGACCAGGCCTCAGGGATTTTCCTTGTGTGGGTATTCCTCTGGAAACTGGCTAAGTCAGTTTTGAGCCACTTGTCATCACTGAAAAAGCACCAATGGCCAATAACATACCCCAAAATCTGTCCCTCTGTTTTTACCATTGATTTAATGTTAACCAGTCCCTGCTTCTGGCTGACATTGGACCTCTCTGCTCAGAGCTATCTTTCTCATCCTTTGTTATCCTTTTTATAATGATGCCCAACCACTGTTTCCTTTCCTATAGATCAGTGTTTCTAAAAGTGTTCCACAGAATCACTTTGAGAAACACTTTAACTGGCCGCTCCGGTTTATTTATGTACCGGTGCCATGACCACAGAGCCTTGTGGCTCCCATTGGCTCCATTTCATCCTTTTATAGCATCTATACATGCAAACCGCCAGTTTGAACTTAAATCAAACTAGTGGAGCACTTAATTTGAACTAGATAAACCTCAGGAGATAGAGCTTTCTTGAGGGGGCTTGGTCTAGGACTGTGGAATCAGCTTCCATGAGAACTAAGTACCATCACAGACTTCACCATCTTCCATCCAACTGCAAGGAGTGTACCTTCAACCTGCTTTCTCCAATATAAACACAAAGTAGCACATACCTAATAAAATAATAAAAACCAAAAAAGCAATAAATAATTTACCAAGCCACAATGCTGTACTGAATACAGTTTCCTTATCCTACCCCCAAGAGTACAATGAAAGCAAGAACAATCCACACACGGCAGATGTTAGTCATAGTGCTTAATGCACAACTGGAAGTTGCTCAGATACTATGATGATGAGACAGTCCAAGAATTAGAACAGAACTGGTCATTTCAGAATCTTTCAAAACTCACAGCTGGTCAGTTTAGTATCCCTTGTTAACTTACCTGCAGCTCCAACATTCAGGAACTTGTGTGTTGCTTCCTCCCACCCCTCCTTTAGGCTAATCAAGACTATTCTCATAGGGTACGTCTACACAGCAGTGTTATTTCGGAATACATAGTGCAACTCAACATGATAAGCCTTTATTTTGAAATAATGTCAAGCTGGAGGACTTCTTACTCTGACTCATGATAACCCTCATTTCACCAGGAGTAAGGGAAGTTGAATCCTGCTGTGTAGACAGTGCCAAAAGCCAAATTAAGCTATTTCAACTTTAACTACACAATTGATGTAACTGAAGTTGTGTTGCTTAATTCGACTTTTGTCCTGCTGTGTAGATGTACCCATAGTTCTTTGCTATTCAGATAATTTGTAATTCCCCCTACTATCACCATAAGGAGCAATATTAATTTCTGCTATCGCTGACATGTTATGGAAATTTGTAAGTCTTTTAGAGTTGGCAAATGTATTGTTTTTATTAATCTGATTTCAACTGCTTACTGCTTAGACATTTTCAATACCTTATTTGCCCCGTATTTTAAACAATCTTAATACCCTTTTGTGCCATTTCTTTTTTCCCTTTAGATTATTTTTTGGAGCTGCTTTATTTTAAAAATAATGCTGAGAACTCTATTCCGTGTATTGTTTGTGCAATATCTTTCTGATCATAAATTTTATAGAAGGCTAATAGAATGCAAACACATTAGTAGTAATACAAAGAAATCCTAATGCCACAGGGTAAATAGGAAATGCAACAACACATTTACAATTTTGACCAGTCAAGTACCAACACTACTCATTTATCTCATTAAAGGCTAATCTACATTCTGAAGAAATAAACTTCACTGAGATTTTAGATCCTTGAAACCAAATATACAAATTCTACAGACTAAATTCATTTAAAAACGACTCACATAGAAAAAAAGCCCATAAAAGAAGGTATGAAATTCAAGTTCTACTCTCTATTAGACTGGAGTTAATAATTACTCTGTTATTGAACAATAGCTTCTTTCCATGCCACAATTATATGTAAATCTCCTCTGCTTCATTAAAATTAAAACATCAGCATACAGATTAATACCAATACATTTATTTTTATTAATAAGTGTATTTGAGGAGAAGGAGTTGAGCAAAACAAGTGAGAAAAGGATATTGGGATGCAGGATCAGTAGCTTATTTGCATTCTCTTTATTTCTTTATCACAAAATGAAGAGAAAGAGTGAATATATTTACTGAGTCCAGGTCTACACTACACACTTCCTTTAGTATAACTACATCACAACTTCTAGGCAGCATATTTACAGTGACCTTAGAACCTACATAGACAGTGCTATGTCAGTAGGGGTGTGTCTAAACTACATGGCTCCATCGATGGAGCCATGTAGATTAGGCTGATCGGCAAAGGGAAATGAAGCCGCGATTTAAATAATCGCGGCTTCATTTAAATTTAAATGGCTGCCGCGCTGAGCCGACAAACAGCTGATCAGCTGTTTGTAGTCAGCGCGCTAGTCTGGACGCTCCCGTACCGACCTGAAAGCCCTTTATTGACCTCCCCGTTATGTCTTGTAGGATGAGATTTACTGGGGAGGTCGATAAAGGGCTTTCATGTCGACAGGGGAGCGTCCAGACTGCCCCAATCTGCCGACAAACAGCTGATCGGCAGAGCGGGGCAGCCATTTAAATTTAAATGAAGCCACAATTATTTAAATCATGGCTTTATTTCCCTTTGCCGAACAAACAAATCTACATGGCTCCGTCGACAGAGCCATGTAGTCTAGACTTTCCCTAGGAGAGCTCCAGCCAACATAGCTACTGCCTCTCTCACAGAGATGGAACAATTAAGATGATGTCCATGCAGCTTTTGTAATGAAGACTTGCCCTGAGATCCTTTCTCCTCCTTTCAGCACCTTAAATGTAAGACATACACATTTAGATCACACCATTCTCATCTAGACCCCTTTGAATCCAAACTTCATGGATGACACTTC